GTAGTTAGAATAGCTTCCACTTGACGGCTGTCTTCTGTGTGGTCGTGGTATTTCATTGAGCGAGGACAATTCCTGCGAAGATGTTAAAGCGGGCTCTACCACTGTTACCACTGTTAACCTTTGCTTGATTTCAGTAGTTTCATTGAGAGATTTGGCAATTGACAGTGCTATTATAGAAAAATGGGAGAAAAACAACTAAATTCTACTATTAATATGAACAAAATCTTTGTTTTACATTGCATATTCTTTGATTTGATGATATTTTTTTGGTAATTGTTTCATTGATTTAGACAAATTGAGGTATGGCTGATTTTTCTGTTTTACTACGACATATTTTGTAATTGGTTTTAAGTGACCGTACTCTACACCACACCCATAGGTGGGACAGATACCAAAATGGACGTATTGGTCATTATATTGCTACATGAAATAAAACAAGCCAATGTATTTATTGACAAACTAGCCGTCGCCCGTTACTCCGTCCGCGTGGAAATAAAAACAATAATAAGTAGCCTATGTGTTCTTCCAGATTATATTCTACATGTATGCCAAATTTCGTCAAAATCTGTTCAGCCGTTACGGAGATACCTTCAAACAAACATCCATCTAAACGTTCGCATTTGTGATATTAGTAAGATATAGAAACCGGTTAAAAATAATTAAATTAACAAACTTATTTTGAAAATAAGCTTTTATAATCATCATCTTACCCTAAGTAAGTGAAACTATGTGATAGTGAATGCTGACTCAGTGCAAGACTTCACTTGTAAATCACTTTAAATCACCGCTACCTAGGGTCCTTCAAGAAGCGACCTTATCACTATCTCAAAGTTCTGCAACGCATCTGCGGTTCCTCTGGTATTGCAGTTCTTGGGCGTCGTTGAACATTCTGTTATAAAACAAAAAATTGTTTATTGCATATTTTAATCTCGTCATCCGCTCACTATACGTCCCCTCTGAGGGGCTCGGAGCCTACAATAAGTTAAGGGTGATTAGGCCATAGTCAACCACGCTGGTCAAGTGCTGGTTGGTTGACTTCACACATATCTTTGAATTACTTCTCAGATATGTGCAGCATTACGATGTTTTCCTTCACCGTAAGAACGTCGGATAAATGTACATATGTAAATCGGAAATCAAAAACACATTGGTACATGGCGGGATTCGAACCCAGGACCTGCAGATTGTAAGTCAAGTGCTTGACCACTGAGCCACCGACGCTCTATATATTTTAATTTATCTCAGTGTAAAACGTTTATTAATAAACAGTAGGTGTAGTGAAAATGAAATCAATCTAGATTTTAAACAACTGGCTACTAATATAGACTTTCTAGTCTAGAATTGTAGACGGTACACTCAGCGAAGAAAAATATACTAAGAAATTAAATTTAACAGTGGTAGATTTATCATCTTCGCGCGAACTGGCCCGGCTCGCCCGGTGAAATACCACGACCACACAGAAGACAGACGTCAAGTGCGAAGCAATTCCAACTACAGTCTGATGAGTGTGCGTCCCGTAGGCCTAATTTAGTCCTCATACCCTTCCCACCCTTTTTCTTATAAGGAAAGGATGGGAAATGGAAATGGACTTTCCGGATGAGAGGATGCATGGGAAGGGAAAATATTTTCTCTCTGTGCATCCTCTCCTCCGTCGATTAAAAGTAGGCAACGCATGCAATTGCGTATGTCTATGGGCAACGGTCACTTCGATATTTCAGCGATTTTAGGTGACCGCTCGATCGTTTGCCACCTTATGATATAAAAAAATAATTAGCTGTCGCCAGCAACTGCTTCTGCGCGGTATTAAAATAAAACTTAATTATGAGTCTATGTGTTCTTCCAGACTATGTTCTATATGTATGACAAATTTCATCAAGATCCGTTGAGTTGTTCTGGAGATATCTTCAAACAAACATCTAAACATTCGCATTTATAATATTAGTAATATTTATTCTGATATGAACCATTTTTGTTTGCAACTGTACTTGTTTTCATTAATCCTTATATAGTTGAATAATGGTAACAAGTTCGAGAAATTTCTATCGTACAATACAATTTTTTTACTTATAGCTTTCTTAGTATGTAACCTCAACGCCTACCAAAGCTAATACCACTATTTATTACAAACTACCTGTCGCCCCTGACTCCGTCAGCGTGGAATGATTTTTTTCACCTTTTAAACCTTCCCTAGACCTCCTCGAACATTTCAAGACTAAGATAAGATAAATCCGTTAAGCCCTTCTCGAGTTTTACAAGACTAACGAACGGCAATTGATTATTTTATATACAGATAAGTTTTCAAATGAAGAAGACAGCAGAAATATTCCTTGCGCTCTGCTTCTCGTCCTCTACCAATACTATGACCGTAAAGAAGATGCGCCTTAAGTCATAACTCATTACAACTACTTAATGAGTGTGTGTTCGAGAACTCATTCTACTCCCTTTCCCCCTTCACCCTTTGCCTATAAAGAGAGGATAGGAAGGAAAGTGGATTTGAATGGACGAGGGAACGCATAGGAAGGAAAAACGTTCCCACCTCAGTAGTGTTAAGACTTGCAATCTGCAGGCCCTGGGTTCGAATCCCGCTATGTACCAATGTGTCTTTCGATTTCCGATTTGCATATGTACAGTTATGCGAAGTTCTTACGGTGAATGAAAACATCGTGATGCTGCACATATCTGAGAAAGTCAAATGTGTAAAGTCAACCCGCACTTGGCCATCGTGGCCATCTATGTCCTAGTCACCCTTAACTTAGGGTAGACTCCATCCCCTCGGTGGGGACGTACAGCTGATGTTGATGATGATACGAACGTATCCGCAATTGTGTATGTCAATGGCCAACTATCGCTTCGCTATTTTGGCGAATCCAGATAACCGCTTGCTACCTAATTATATAAAAATAAAACTTTTAAATAGTAATCGTTTAACGTATTAACCAATCCTTGTATTTGAGACATTTAAACCTAGAACATTCATACAAATGAAATTCAACTTTAAGTACTAAACAAATACAGACTAGATTCTATTTAATTTTATTTACAACTACAAAACTTTAGCCTTAGAAATAAACATATATTTAAAACTGGTTTTGTGACATTTGTCTGAACTAAATTGAAGCTATAATTTGCTAACTCTAGGTAATTTAAACGAATGGTAATTAGCACTAACATACTAGGAAATAATACTTAACAATATTATAGATGCGAATGTTTAGATGTTTGTTTGAAGGTATCTCAAAAACGGCTGAATGGCTTATCATTGAATTTTGGCACACGCTGTATATCCAAACGACCTATCTATACACCAGTAGCGTCTTATTGAATTTTGGGACACGCTGTATATCCAGACGACGTATCTATACACCAGTAGCGTCTTATTGAATTTTGGGACACGCCGTATATCCAAACGACCTGTCTATACACCAGTAGCGTCTTATTGAATTTTGGGACACGCTGTATATCCAATAGACCTATCTATACACCAGTAGCTGCTTATTGAATTTCGGGATACGCTGTATATCCAAACACTTAAGTTACATTGAAGTGATCAAAATTACGTAAGCACAGTCCTTGGAAAGACTCGGTACAATAATACTTTAAATCTATATTTACTTACGTTACTTATAAAGAATAGTTAATTTTTGTCTGTCTGTTCGCAATACGGCTGGAACGATTTTGACGTAACTTTTAATAGAAGGTATATGATGTTATAGAGTGTCGGTGGCTCAGGGGTAAAGCAGATAACTTGTAATCTGCAGGTCCTGGGTTGGAATCCCAATGTACCAATGTGTTTGATTTACATATGTACATTGATCCGATGTTACAGTGAAGGAAATTGTGATGCTCATATCTGAGAAAGTCAAAGATATGTGTGAAGTCAACCCGCACTCTGCCAGCATTCACTATGTCCTGGTCATTTTTAGACTTTATTAATTGGAATCCTTTGGCGCGAATGGCGCGCTTTCATTACAAAGTCAAGTGTCAGATGTAGTGAGGGGACATAAACATTGATATTTTAATTAGGCTAGTGATGCGCCAGTACACCGGCACTGTATGGCTCTGAGACCCTCAGTGGGGACATGTAGAACGTATAGAATATAGGCTATTTTATTCCACGTTGACGAAGTTGCGGGAAATAGATAGTTGAATAAATATGCACGTTTTCTGATATTATTTACTAGTCATTGAAATTGAAAGCCACGTGTTAATTCTGACGAATTATATCCTTTGTAGCCTTTCCTTATTGCGTTTGTATTGTTAGATAAGATAAAAAAAAAATATAAGCTTTGCTCAAGGTTGAGTTAACTTTTCATTTTAACTTGATTTGTCGATTCATTTTTTTATTTTGTTTAGCACTTTAGTATGGTAATGAAGTTTTCTTATTGTTGGTTATTCTATCCTATTCTATACTATATTTCTTATTATATATATATGATTAAAATAGCAGTATCTCTGTGTATAAAAAACTTGTTTCGCGATCTCTCTGTCCACAAGTCCGAGTTTGTTCCGGGTAATCTCCAGAACGGATGGAGAGATTTTGATGGGACTTTGACTAGAAGGTTGCTGATGCATGCGAGCATGTAGGCTACTTTTTTAATCCTGCACTGGCAAAGTCCGTGTAATAGATTGCTAGTAATCAACAAACTTGTCCTTGGATTACTTACTTACTCCGCTGACGCATCGACCCAAAGCGGGTCTTGCCCTCCGACACAAGAGATCGCCAAAGTCGCCTGTCTTGTGCCTTCTCCTGCCAGTCCATCGTTTGTAGCTCCCGCAGATCCAGCTATACGGCGTCTCGCCAGCGGTACCTGGGCCGACCGATGGGTCCTTATGGATGGGCAGTCGTCCTTAGTTTGATATTGGAAATTTAAACAGCTTAATATCTTATCTTGCTGCAAGTTGTAATGGTAGATTTATGTTAAACTTATGAAGTTAATGTCCGAAGGCGTTCTTTTAATTTTATTTAAGGTTTATTAAAATTTCTCTTTCTTTTGTTACAGATAACCAAACCGGTCCCCAAGCGCGTTCCCTGAGGGACCCCGAACAGACTCAATTAGATTTATCATCCGGTGACTCAAATTCTAATATATACCATTCTCATAAACTAACCAATATCAATCCAAACCCGTCAAATGCTCAAAAAAATCTTGATAATAATAATACAATGGAATCACGTAGTACAACCATGTCAAAAGCTTCACATAATACTGAAGATGATTTCGACGTGAATGAATATTTTGCTAGACTCCACGGTACTAGATATGTCAGTGCGCCTATTAATAGTGCTGTAAAAGAAGCTGAAAATTTAGCTGCAGTAGAGGAAAATCTAGAAGAGATAAATTTGAATGAACCTGATAAAAGTACTGAAGAATTTCAACATAGTCTAACAGCTGATATTGCGCAGAATTTCTCACAATTACCAACAGTGTTGCCACAAGTTGCTAGTGCTGTGTTTAGCTCCTTTTCTAATATGCTGAGTATGAAGAGGGAGCACACCGATGTGAAACCGGTACCAGATCTAGTACCAGGAGTTCCGAATGAACAGATTCAAAAAACTCAAGACGTTGGTGTACCTCTGATGAGCGTACCAGATGTTAAGGAAGTGGCACCGCCGCCCACAAAACCGCCTTTAGGTAAGTGTCTTTACTGTATTCTATTTTTTAATAAATCTCTTATGACAATTTTGATTAGTTGTCCAAGTCCTTGATAAATTGTCGGCAGATTTTAGTAGATTTTAGGTTAAATTACTAGCATATCTTTTAAGTATTCTAATACTAGCGGTCGCCAGCGACTACGTCTGCACGGAATTAAAAAAATAGCAACCTATGTGTTCTTCCAGACTAACGAAGAAGAAAAGAAAAACGAGCAATCTAACTGGCTCTTAACAAACTTTCGGATCATCTATATTAATATTATAAAGCGGAAGAGTTTGTTTAAACGCGCTAATCTCAGGAACTATTGGTCCGATTTGTAAAATTATTTTTTTGTTGGTTAGTCCATTTATAGAGGAAGGCTTTAGGCTATATAACATTACGCAGCGACCAATAGAAGCGCAGAAAAATGCAAAGATAATCATGATAGTGTTTCCGACTACTAAACGCAGTCGCATGTACAGCTCGATACCAGCTGATATATTGATTAAAATAGTCAACGTTTTTTTTTTGTTACGTCATTATTAATCTTAGATATGGGCGCCAAACCGTCTGTAGTTCTCACGGCCATACCACGACCTTTTCAACCTCACGTGTGTAAACCTTTTAAGTGACGTAACCGATAAATTACAATCATCACTGCATATCTTAAAGAATCGTAAAGTAACTATTGTTCAAGTTGCAGATTTTTTTTTCTCAATTGACAAGACTATGTCGGTTTTTAGTATATGTTGAACGTACAGCAAATACCATTCTGCTGTAAAAATTGTTTATTGACATTGTGTCAACATAATAATAACTAGTTATCGCCCACGACTCCGTCCGCGTGAAATGAAACAAAAGAACTTAAGACTTCCACGAACATTTCAATACCAAGATAATCCGTTCAGCGAATCTCGAGTTTTAGAGAGTCTAACGAAAAATTTTCCCCGTTTTTCTAACATTTCTCACTGACGCTTCGCTTCTATTGGTCGCAGCGTAATGTTATATAGCCTAAAGCCTTCCTCTATTAATGGACTATCCAACAAAAAAGAATTTTTCAAATCGGACCAGTAGTTACTGAAGTTGGCGCGTTTAAACAAACAACCTCTTCCGATTTATAATGTTAGTATAGATGTACAAAGCATTTGACAAATACGCTACTTGACAGTCTCGAACGTCTGCGTAATAGAGTGGCAAGTTTGAGTTGCAAATAAAATATTACATGAAGCAAACACGGGCACAAGATTTGTACATTATCAGCCAAATACAACAATATACAAATATTTGATCAGTGGTCCTATGACAAGTATTTATGACAGTACATCGAATCGTCATAGAGAAAATTTATGCATTTATTGCGCGTAGACGCAAAAATCTTATACTAATCTTACTAATAATATAAATGCACAATGCGATTTGGCTCACGAGGTTACCGCCATGTGGCGTATGAAATCGACTACCATTATTCCGATAGTCGTAACCATGAATGGACTGATAGCGAAGAGCTTCGACCAACATCTCAAGAAGCTCTCGCTACACAGTTGGATTAAGGACCCTATATAAAAGGCAGTTATCCTAGAAATCGCACGCATCGTGATAAGGTTCCTGTCTGCAGCCCTCACCACTGGTTGTTTGAGTCATGGGATTCCGCAGCCGGTGGTGTTCTATTTTTAATATAATATATTTTGTATAATTTTTTATTCTATATATGAAATTATATATTAAGAATACGGTAACTAAATATTATAAGTTGATATTTAAAAATGCGAATGTTAAGATGAATGTATGTTAGAAGGTATCTCCAGAACAGCTGAATGGATCTTGATGTAAAATGCCATAGATGTAGAACATAGTCTGGAAGAACACATGGACTACTAATTATGTTTTTTTTTAATTCTTCCCGGGCGACAGCTAGTTGTGACATAACGATGACGAAAAGCCTACTTCATTTTTGAATAAGCAATAATGATAGAGCGTCGGTGGCTCAGGGGTCAAACACTTGACTTGAATCTGCAGGTTCTGGGTTCAAAGCCCGTCATGTACCAGTATGTTTTTCGATTTTCGATTTACACGTGTACATTTATCCGATATTCTTACGGTGAAGGAATACATCGTGATGCTGCACATTTCAAGAAATTCAAAGATATGTGTGAAGTCAACCCGCACTTGGCCAGCGTGGTTGACTATGGTTAGTCAACTCTAACTTGGGTAGGCTCCGAGCCCCTCAGTGGGGAGGTATAGTGAGCTGATGATGAATAATGATACGGCAGTAAATGACTTAGAAGTAAAGGTGAAAATAGTCTATGTTTTTACCCGACTAATTTAGAAGAATTATGTCTTTCGCGCGTATGTATGAATGGGTTTGTTAAAGGACAAGTAATTTTGAACGAGTGAGGTGTTATTTGATTTTGTATTCTTCCCCTGAATATCATAGGATTACAATTATTGTTATTTTAAATTAATCGTGTTTCTTGTCTTTATATCGTTTATTGCTGTGCCCCATTACATCTTATTCCTAGTGGAAAACAGGCTTTAGTAAGACGAGTTTGCTAATACTGTGTGAAACTTAATAATTATAAGTCTCAGATCCAGTGTCGGAGTGACAGTGTAGGCTGTAATGAGATGTTGTGTAAGCACCAGTGTTTTATATAACTGATAACTTTCTCCTGGAATATTAGGGATTTTAACTAGCGGTGCCCGCGACTTAGTCTAGAAATACTGTCTTTGAGATGCGCGTACTGGACATGGATATTGCAATATAACTTTATTTTTCTAAAATAAACCTACCATAAGTTACTCCTTATTACATCAGCTACTGGCCAATAAAGTCCCATTAAAATCAGTCCAGCTGTTTCAGAGCTGTATCAAATTTACATACAAAAATTGAAAAAAATGTTTTAAAAGTGTATGTACCTTATATATTTATATACAAGTATTAAAAAACGGTTATTTCAGCTGTAGACTATTTGTGTACCAAATCGCATTTAAATCGATTTGAAAGTTTTTGCGTGAAACGACAGACAGTTACTTTTTCAATTATAACGCCTTTTAAGAAGTGAGCGTATCACCATCTCAAAGGTTGTCAACGCATCTGCGGTTCCTCTATTGCTGATGTCCATGAGAGTCGTGGAACACCTCGGTGTTCCCGCTGCTCATTATAAAAAAAACATTAAATAAGGAATAAGAATATAACTAATTATAACATCTCTTGTTACAGGTACAGCATCAAACTATCGAATAACAACTAAGAAGAAAATGTACGCGCAAATACCAGGTCTAAGATCCGCAGATTCATCACAAAATATAGCAAACCAGCCAGCTCATGTTAATGTCCCATTTTACGCTCCTGAAACACAGAAGTCGGATACATCGACTAGAATACATGACGAGAATACGATTGAAATAACTGGAACAAACAAAAATGTTGATGTTACTCAGTTCGGATCAAATAATAATATGGCACAATATCCATCAAATTATCCAGAACAAAATCAATCTGGATACGAACAAAAGACAATTATAGATAATCTGACAGTATCTATGGATAATATTAACAAATGGCAATCTATAGATAATATACAGAAAGATACAATTTTTACAATGCAACCAAATGCACCTCAAACAGTACCACAGTCTAACATGTCTGTTATTCCTCCACCACCGATGTTTTCAAATCAAACAAAATCTGATCAGAATAGTGTACGATCAGTTTTACCACCTTCTATAGCAAGGCGTATTGCTGCTAATAATCCTATTATAAAACCACAAGTACCACTTTCAGCTCCATTGCAAAATATATTTGTACCGTCTGATATTCAATCACAACCTGAAACTGTATCAAGTACGTATCAAGGAATGACACAAGATAAACCGGATACTACTATTATTGAATCTAAAATGCAACATCCTGTGTATAAACCAAGTGCCACGAAACTTCGAGGAATTATTTCACAAGAAAGAGATATGAGTTTTGTAATTGAGCCTAACGTACATCAACCTGAGACATCTGTGTGTGCTATGAATTACCATGGAATTACATCGGAAAAACCTGATAAAAGCTTTATAATTGATCCTAAAAAACATTCGGGTATTGCAAATATAACATCAAATATCATTAAACCTGCAACGTATGGATCAAATATGTCAATATTTGTATCAAAAGAAATCCCTCAAGGAAGTATATTGGAAAATATTAAAGGGCATAGTCCTATTGATATTCCTCAGAAGATATCATCACCAGCAGATCTAGCTGTAAAACAGCTATCACAAATGAATCTAGATCCACCGATAACTAATCTGGCTGATGAATTATTAGGTGAAAAACTAAATAAATCGTCCAAGTCAGAATCATTGCCGCCACCACCAAAATTCTATAATCAAAGTGCTATAACAGATTCAAATACAGGTCGAAAAATAAATGAAGTTCCAAATATTGCTACTGTTAATAAAACATTATTTGAACCTAAAATTGCTGCTTCGGATCCAACTAAAAATATACGAGAACCTCCAAAGATCGCAAGCAATAATTTCAGAATGACAATGAAAAAACCACAATATTATTCAGGCCCTATTGAAGGTGTTGGTAATATTAGTAATAATATAAAACCGACTATTTATACCGAACAGGCTGACACTTTCCAAGGATCTTTATACACACCACAATTACCAGCCCAACAGTTTTCTGATGATTCCGGAATAACGGCTTCAGTTCAATCTAAAGATCCCTTTACTGCAACGGAACTGGCTGGCAATGTAGGAGTTTATCAACATTTTAATAATCCTCAACCACAAACTCAAAGCCATGTACAATCTGAATTCAATACAGCTTTCGATTTGAGCAGACAGACAACGGAATATTTTGAAAATACTCAGCAAGAATCCAAAGGTTTTGGAATCATTGGTTCTTTGAAATCTAAGCTTAGCTCCATCGATCTTAATAAGATTCAAAATTCAGTTACAACATTCTTCGATCCAGCTTATAATTATACTAAAATGGACGCAGCTAATCAAGAAAATGTATACGGATCATTTCCATTACAGAAAACTTCACAAGAACGAGATAATAGTAATTTAGAAATATACGTGCCTACTGCCGAACCAGCATCACAATCGTTCGCTTATAATTACCAATTACCTGATAATACTATTAGACAACCAGGCCCATATATTTATTTTCAAGAAGCTTCAAAAAGCTCTGATAAACCTGTTCATAGTTACAATACTGAAGCAAATCAAAAATCCCCTTGGGCTGTAGATTCATCTTATGGATCGAACAAGAAAGAAGATTTGAAAGCTGTTGGAACAAAAATTAATAAAAATTATGCAACCCAAGAAAAGGAAACAGCGAAATCTAACATTGAAATGACTAGTTTTAATCAAATATTTGCAAACCCAAATACTAATTCGAATGTTCATTTCGATCCTTACAAACCACAAGTAACAGAATCAAATTTATGTGATAGATCCTTCTTTTCTGATTCAGGATTTCAAGCTAATGTACCAATGCAACATTTATTGCATGCGAAAAAAGATGATAAAACGTCTCTAATGAATTTTAAATCGGATGAAGCTTCGAATATGAAATTATCGGAATGTTTTCCTTCTGATAAGAAAGATGAAAGTTCTAAAGAGGATTTATACAAGCCAGAAATTAAAAATAATATACCAAAGGTTACCAATACTGAAGAAACCGCGAGTAATGTAAGAGAACCACAAATGCCTAAATGGGATGATATTGGGTTTATATATTTTAAATCGTCGTCAAACTTACCTAGCGGCTCTACATTCGATAGTCAAGCTACTGCTATTAATAATAAAGAGCCAACTCAAACAGATGTATTCGTCGATTCTAAAGCCCATCAAGGGTTCATCTTTGATCAGAATGCAGCAGATTTCTTTGATAGACCTTTATCTACTGAGAAGCAAGTTGTAGAAAATGTCTTAGAGACGGTGTTGAAGGAAGAAGAAAGTGACCATGACTTAAGTATTTGCGAAACTTGTAGAGAGGTTAATAAGCCTGAAGAAAAGGAAGTTGAAAATCTAACAGATCAACTGATTGAAAATATAATAGCACCAATACAACTATCTAATCCTGTTGAAGTACCATTTACTGCAAATGAAAGTCCAGACGTAAATACGAATGATTTTGATCCTGATCAATGTGACGAAATCTCATATATGACAGAAGAAACCATAGAGACCCTACAAGAACAAGAAGAAGACTTTATGGATGGTTTTACCAATAGTTCAGCAGTTCCCAAAAATTACGAATGGCTTGTAGAAGAACCTGAATTGACTGGTCCTAATGTTTTTACCGCAGACAATATGCCAAATAATGCAAGTGATGAAATCAAAGCTGAATATCAAAGTTGTTTTGATGAACCGCTAACAGAATTTGCAAGGGAAATGAGTACTCCATCAGCTCCTCCGGCTGAAGAGGATGCAAATTCCGATGAAAGTGGTTTAGATGTTCACTCTATAGAACAAGATGCGACAAAAGACTTCCCTATCTACGATGATAACGTAATCGAACCTTCAGAAACGGATGACGATAAAATTGAGTTCAGAGAAAGAGAGAAAAGTTCCGAAGAATCGATTCCAGATAGTGATACGTTTACTAATAGAATTGAGAAATATAAGAAAATGGAGGAAACACTAGATCAAAGTCATGATGTGTTTAAAACTACCGAAAGTTCAAAATTATACGAAGTGGCCACTTCAACGAGTCCATCAACAACTATTGCTTCGTACTTCGACACTGGAAATTACGCGGTAGAAAATTTCTACAGAAACTCATTGACTTCTCAATCTGTTTCAAATCTGAATATCTCAGAATCCCAACATCCTATGACAATTGTGAAAGTACCGCCTGGCTTTGAATCTCTATATCCGAAACAATTTTATATTATACCAAATGAAAATTATAATGCATTTGCAACACCAGATATTAATCCCAGCCAAAAGCCAATAACTTACGTTTTGCCTGACAGTAACATATATTTGCCGCAACCGGAATCTTCATCATTAACATATTCATACATTTCTACTGAAAAAAATGATAAACCTGCCAATGAAAACAATGCCAATATAACAGAAGAATCGACCAATGAGATAATGAACATATCTAAAGTCGTCTTAACAACGGATACAACAGAAAGTAATGTGAAATTACCAGATTTTGCAACTGTTTTTGGAACAAAAAAAGATCAAGAAAATATTGAAGAGACTACTGAAGCAGCATCTGAAGAAACTAAAATTACAGAATCATCGGATTCAAAAAACATTGAACCGGAGCCATCGCGTAAAAGTCCTGATGTTTGTGACTTTAGTAGACTATCGAGTTACTTTACATCACCATCCCAAAATGATCCATCGAAGTCTTTTTTTGAATTAAGCCAATCGGAAAATCATTATAGACACGACATGACTTCATCAACTAAATGTGATAAATCAAACATTCCACAAGATAAATACGTATCTAACATGAATTTGATCAAAGATTTAACATCGCCAGCAAACATTGAATCCATTCCAAAAGAACAAATAGTAAGAACTGTTAATTATTTCACAGTTCTTTACGACAATGATTCTTTTAATAATAAAATAGACACAAAAAATATAGAAATTCCAATTGTATCAGATTCTGACATAAATTTAGAAACTCCTCTATCAAATACTGAATGCAACAAAGTAGATATTATAGAAACTTGTAAGCATTGCTGTAGCTTAGAAAGTGGGGTAGTTAAAGATATAAATATCGAAAATTTAAAATTAGGTAAAAATAACGTTAAAATTAAACAATATATGAACGAAGATAATTGTGAATTAAAGAAAGAGGTTAATATGGAAACTAAAAAGGAAACATCAGGTGATAGATCGTTTACAGTTAATTTTGATAATATAACGATAGAAGAGGAAAAAGAAGAAAATGTCACTATGATTACTGAGGTATTTGTATATTTATTAAGACTTCTTCTATCTTACTTCTTACTTAATCTTACTAGTATTATAAATGCGAATGTTTAGATAGATGGATGATTGAAGGTATCTCCAGAACGACTGTATGGATCTCGCTGAAATATGGTATAGATGTAGAACATAGTCTGGAAGAACACATAGGTTATTTATTACGTTTGTTTTTAATTCAGCGCAGACGAAGTCTCAGGCGATAGCTTGTTATATTATAAATGCGAATGTTTAGATGGATGTATGTTTGTTTGAAATTATATCTAGAACGACTGTATGGATTTCGCTGCAATTTGGCATAGATGAAGAACATAGTCTGGAAGAACACATAGACTGCTAATTAGGGTTTTAACTCCGCGCAGACTGAGTCGCGAGTGACAGCCAGTGCTAGAATAGAATATTCAAACTGAGTTTCTAAGACCGAAATCCGAGTTTGAAATATATTGTTATCTATTTTGTCAAAGGTGACAGGAATGACGATATATGCATAGCTTTTAGTCTTAGAAACTCCCAGTTAGTCCTGTTTTATATTTTCTTATGTTTTTTTATATCTTAATAGGTTTTCTGGCATATAGCAGTGTCACCAGGCCAGATAATTTTATCACATCTTAATGTACCCTTCTACGTGTTCCAGAATCGTTCATCCGGAGAGTACAGTCCTGTCAAACATCACTGGTTCTACCGTGTCGATTGTGAGGGGAAGTCATTATGGAAAGGTTTCTCTACTGTCGATTCCAGTGCTCTGGAAAATGCCTTCGTTAGCCGTAAGTTTTGTTTATAAAAGATATTGTGAGTTTCTTCTAAGAGAATAAGATAGAGGAGTTGTTTGAATGTTTAACCTTGGGTACATTGATGGCTCAGGGGTTAAGCACTTCTCTGCATCTCCTGGGTTCAAATCCTGGCATATACCATTCTTTGCAATCAACATATGTACATCTTATGTTATTACGGTGAAGGAAAACATCGTGATGCTGATCGAGAAAGTCAAAGATATATGTGAAGTCAACCCACACTAGGTCACCATTCACTATCACATAGTCTAACTTAGAGTAGGCGATACCCTCAGTGGAGTATAGTGAGCTGATGATGACTTTAATATTCCAGCGGAATTATCAGAGACAACGCTCGTGCCGACTGACGGTGGTCGTTATGATGTGAACTTGATGGGCAGACTTCGTGTACCTGTCTACTGGTCCGGAAAACCGACTAATGTTATGCGGTTAGTAGTTCTCTTACCGAGGGTTTCTGATACCAAA